GGGACGGGCGATGCTCAAAGTCTTTTTCAAGCATGGTCGGTTCGCCGGGATCGTTTTGGCTGGCCATTGTCCTAGCGACTCACACGGTCTCAGCGAGCTTGACTGAGAAAACCGTAGCCGCCATCATCCCTAATTTTCCCTTGGCTAGAATCATTCGATGTCTTTCTCTGCGCCGAAGACGAGGAGGAGACCGGTACACTGGGCGACGACTTGCACTCTCAGCTCCCCGACAGGCCTCTGCGGATCAGACGGTTCCAGCGAAGCGACGATCTAGCCAGGATCATCCCCGAGCTATTTGCAATTGACGATCAGTAGCGACAGCGCGGGAGGGCTCTATCATCGCAATGCAAGCTTGAAGCGACGTTTACTTCTCGGCTTGTCCGATGTATGACAACAGAGCCCACGAATACATGGACTCCGTGCTTGTTTGGCTCACAGAAATGCTTGCAATATGTTGCAGCCGTCCATTCAACATTCGCTTCTTACTCGCCTTCCTGATTTCTACGACTGCGCCATCATGTCGGCGGAGACCGCCACGCCGACCTTGGTCTGGTCCTTCAACGCTGTGCAAGAACTTGCGACTTGTCGGTCAGTAGTGCTTCTAGCCGCTCTGCGCAGTAAAAGTTGCTCTAGACTCGGTCGTGTTCTGACAGACACATCCAAAGGGACAACCGGTTGCTACGTCCTATATGACGGAATGTTGAGAGCAATGTACGGTACGTACGGACGATCCCAGCTAGGTGTCCGCTGCGGCGCAGCACACGAGGGTTTTCAGAGCGAAGGCCGCATCATTGATTCACTTCGTAACGCCGCAATATCGCATGCTGTTCGCCGTCGCGTCCCGCGTTGTCTCGCGCCGCTTAGTTGCGCGGCGGCCCCTTCCACCGCAGTCTCTAGAAGCCGCTTGCGCATTGACTCGTACGTTCGCTGCAGACGTTCCAGAGAACGTAGGCACTGACGCGGTTTTGCCAGCGGAGTGTCACAAGGGTCCCGCAATGGTTCTGGACCGACTGTCGCGACGCGCCATTGCAGGGTAAATTCCATGATATCGTACATTAACATCAGAATAAAGTCAAATTGTGCGGCGTACAAGGCACATCGTTGAGTTACGTACAAGGCAAGAACAGTATTTCTCTTTGCCATCTGTAACTGACCGAGCCCGTCTAGATTGAATGCTCCACATGCTGCCTGTTCGGCATACCCTGAGAAGGCGGAGGGCTAGCCTCTGGCACCAAGCACTGCCTTTGGAAAGGCACGACGGCGATTAGCAGACACTTTCGCACCGGTCCCACAGTAGGCTTCCAAGCTTGTAACGAATACTAGATGTGTCTATGTCTAACATGCTCCAACAGCATCTTACGCACGCCGGCACCCCGCCAGAGGGCCAACCGATCGCACGGAACTCCGGCTTCTTCGGTATGCCGTGCGACCATCGCATCACTTCCCAGCGCCACAACGGCCAGCATTGTCCAGCGTCACTTCCTACATCGAGCACCGATCATCCACGCCGCCGGGTAACTGGTTTGACATCGCCGGTACCGGTAGAGATCTGAGGCAATTCCACGGATAAACGCATCTGCCTAGCATCTAGGAGTCTCCGAATATTCTGCGCGACGCGGACGTCGATAGCACTTACCACTATGTACCTCTCTGATTGGCGAAGACAGCCAGACTTTGCCGCCGGCCCATTCGCACGAGGTTCGCGGCAAGCGTTGCTAACACTTTACCGCGCGCATACCTGGACATCCGTCATATTGCTTACCATAATTACGTATAGATGGCCCGACGCCGTGCTCAGACGTCCGTTCGGCGTGTCGTAATATGATCTCAGGAACCAAAGGCTGAACGTTTAAACGTTGAACTTTGCTCTCCAAAAGTGGGCAGCGATGATACAGAGCACACGCTGAGGTCTTCCCGGTCAGAGCACAAGCTGCCTCCAGAGCGAACCTGTCCGCAATTGGACTCGTCGGGGCTACCCCTACTCCGCCGGCCCCGAACGAGTTTCCGATAGAAGGGGCGTCCTACTCCGCGCTTTAATCGTACAACACATGATAACGACCACTATCATAGTGCTGCCGGTTCGAGTCGTAGGCTATCGGCCTTCCACGCTGCAGCGGGAACTCAAAACCGATGACGATAAAAGCTCCGTACTCCGTAAGCTCCGTATTTGACTATGAAGCTATTGCCGGCATCGAACGAAAGCTTATCACAAATACGCCGGTCTGTTGCTGCCTCCCTGGGCACAAGGGAGGTCAAGACCGACCGGCTAATCACATGGCAATGCGAAGTTCGTGGCATCTCCGCTTTGGCCACGATAGCGCTCCGACCTCGGCAGCAATTGAATCGGAGGTCGAGCATGTCGTTCCCGAAGTATTTAGCTAGTTTCTGTGTTGGTCTTACATGCATAATAGAGTTCAATTGTTGACAGAGTTCCGTGTCTGAGAGCTTATAGCAGGGTTCTCGAAGCCAACATTAGAATAATAGGCATCAAGCTGCAAATTTTTCAACGTCGAGCTTAACGTACGCAGAACAAAGACTGCCGTGAACGTGATCTTCGACTGAAATTGAAGAAGCAGAGTACGTTAGTCACCTGCAATGTCCTCAGGATATCCCGTAGATATTTTCACTTCACAGGGAAATTTGTACGACTGCAGACGCGCAGCCATACCTTGAACCTTAACTTATTCTGAAGCCCTGTATAACGGCACTATCGCCATCCAGGGGCTGCACGACCACACGGCGACCGCGTGCTGTTGCGAGGCTCGTGACAGCCAGCATTCTGATTCATTCGTGTTGAAGCCCAATCTCCCGAAAAATTGCTAACGTAGTATCGGAGGAGTCATTTGGTTCCGTCTGCTGTAAACTAGACCGGGTAGCGACGTGCGTCGGCACCGAACCATGATCCTCCGGCGCGTCCAAACTTTACCACTTTGATGTCGAGATAGGCTGCGCGAGCTCATATGGAACAGGTTGGGCGTAGGTACAAAGCGTTTGAGCGAGCTCCGCGGCGAGCGTGCACGTTTCGCAACGGCACCCGGTGAAATTTATCATTTTTGCCTTATAACGATGGCGCTGCTACCTTTGATCAGTCCCGGTGTGCAGCAAAGACCGCAAGGCCCGTGATACCCTCGGGCCCTGCAGAATGCAGGTCACGCTCAGATTATCTCATGCACACTCTGCATTGCGCTCGCAATGCCATGGGGCAGTCCAGATAGTGGCTAATTTCTCATGCTACATTACAGACGCTCCAGCAGGCCAGTCCGACCATCCTAGCCACCTTCCATATTAGGGAGGCGTTCCCCAATCAGCCCTGGCTGATGCGTACTCCTCCGCAGGAGAAAAACGGCGAGCAGACCTCCGAACACGATACAAGCACTGCCCTGCCGGCCGTAAATCCCTGAGAAGGCTGTATCCGACTAGCAGCGAGCGGCGAACTGGGCCCATTCTGCAGCAAACTAAACATCCCGGTGGCAAAGAACAAGACGCGCCTGGAGCATCGAACGCTTCGCTAAAGGCTGTCACGAAAAAATGAAATACGCGTATGCGTTCAGAAAATTGGAGTTTTGATGCTCGGAGACCTGGTCTGTCCCCGCTTTCTTAGCGCGTTGATCGTGCGAGAACTCCTTGCCGGGAGTGATAGGAGCGCTGTTCTGGTCGGGAAGGGCGTATGCCGCGGAACCTCTGGCAGCTCGAAAGGGAAAGGGAATCAAGTCCGTTTCTCACCTTTGTCCATGTAAGATCCAGAGCAGCCCGTCTCGTTCCTGGACTGTCAACGACCTCCTCACCTCACAGCCGAGGCCCGTGCCCACGGGCTCAGCAGCCCATCGCCAAGGCGATTTCGCATCATGTCCGTAAATCTATTCACAACTTCCTGTGGCATCAAAATGTTGGTGCATTGGCGGGCGCGTACGCGTGGCATCGCAGTCTTGAACCTGTACTAGGCCTAACGGGCACTGCCCAAAGATACACCGCCGTTCGACCCCAGCGTTATTTTTTCCCTGCATAACGGGCCCCGAACAAGTCAACGAAGCTATCTGATCCGCACGAACCTGTCAAGTGTAGCCGCTCAGGCTGGCCGGCGTGCCCCCAGTACGTTAGCAGCACTCCTCTTTCGGTCGGTCCCGTAAAGGATGCCTTTCCTTTGACGCTTTCTGCAGAAAAATCTTTTTCAGTGCGAATAGGCAAAACTCAATTGGGCATGCGGGTTTCGTGGGTCGTGCGGGTTTCGTGGCGCGAATGCCGCATCTAGCCAAACACGCTTCTGACTGGGGTCGTCAAAGTAATCATGTTCACTTGGTGCCCGGCCGGAGCAGGTCGCGTCGGCGGAGCCGAAGGTTAGACACGCGCGTAAGCGTTTCACTCCCACCCCAGACGTATAAATGCCGTGCAGGTTAAGACTGCAACCCCAGTTCCAGTTCAGCAGTTTCTCTAATTTCGCGGCAGAGATGCAGCAAAGCGTGTTCCACGCGCTCAACAGCGGCAAGAGCCACCAGACTGGCCGTCCTCGCCGTGCTTCCACTATGCGCTATGTTGCTCTCTGCATTCCGCTCATTATCGCCTCCATGGCTCTTGCTCTCGTCACTGGCGCAGAGGCTCGTGCTCTGCCGCATGAATCCCCCGCTTCCTCTTCACTCACTCGTCGTGCCGACACCGTTTCCGTCCCGAGTGCCGACAACTTCGTCGTTGGTAGCATTATCGGCCAGGCCCCGACGACGAGGAACTTCAACTTTGTCGTCTCTGAGATGGATGGTGCTCCCGATGGCTTCAACAAGACCATGCTCGTCGTCAATGGTTAGTGCGCGTCGTCGTATGCCTGTCGAGTTGACAGCTGAAGCGATTCTAGGGCTGTTCCCTGGCCCGACCATCGAGGCTAACCAGGGCGATCAAATTGTCGTGACGGTCACCAACCAGCTTTCGACTAGGACGTGAGTCGTGTTTTGCTCTAGCTTGGATGACGTTAACCAACATGCGCTATCCCCTGAAGAACGATTCACTGGCACGGCTTGGTGTGTCATTTCGGCTTTGGTGATCCCCGCCTCTTTAGCTCATACGCATATCGTTCCAGTATCAGAACGGCACAAACTACTATGACGGCACGGCATCCGTCACGGAGTGTGGCATTCCCCCCGGCGAATCGCTGACCTACGAGTGGGTACCTTATCATTGTTTCGTCGTTTTCTCTAAAGTCTGACGCCTGCGGTATTTTTAGCTTCTCGGTCGCGGAATTTTCAGGCACGACTTGGTGGCAGTGAGTGAACCATGTCTTTGGATGAATAGAGTTTACAGCTGACACACGGTCTATCAGTGCCCGTGCGTCTCCTCTGCGCCTATCTTCTTTCCTTCTTTGTACTAATGGCACAATACTCCTGACACTTACCAACAGATTGTAAGTGCCATATCATTCACGTCTAATAGCGCTGACTAACCTTACTACTTAGTGGACACGCAGTATACTGATGGGATCGAGGGCGCGCTCATCATCCACCCAACGTCCTACCCCTCCAACTTCCCCACCTGGGACGAGGACCTCGTCGTCGAGCTGGCCGATGTGTACCACACAATCAGCAGCACTATTGTTTCAGAGTATCTCTCGGTATGTGGGATAAGTGCGTGTCATCGCCGATATTACTTACTTGGCATAGGGTACTAGCAGCCCGTCCGGGCAGAGTGGACTTGCACTCGAGACTCCGGATAGCGGGGTAAGCCATCGACTATCTATTGATGTGGAGGTATCTTAACAGTCAACTAGGCTATTAACGGTATCGGTCAATATGATGGCAGCACAAACTACTTCGACGTGAGCGCCACCGTCATAAATTATGCGTGTGCCTGAGTTGACCACATACTCCACAGTTCAACCTGCAGCCTAACAAGACGTAAGATTTACTATTCTCGTGATAGCTCCTGTACTCACACGCATATCCTGCAGCTATCGTCTGCGCCTCATCCATGAGGGCTCTGCCGCACAGATCCGCTTCTCCATTGACTATCATGCGCTGACTGTCATCGAAGCCGACAGCACGCTCACCGAACCCTACACCGTCGAAGGCATCACTCTCGCCGTCGCGCAGCGCTACTCTGTGCTCATCACTACGAACCAGACGGCTGAGCCCCAAGGCAACTACTGGATTCGCGCCGAGCTCATTAGCGGGCTTACCGTCTCAGGCACCAACTCGGACATTCGTGGGATCATCAGGTACGATAACAGCACCGACACCCCGACAACCTCGACCGACCCTGGCGTGCCAAACTCGGGTCTCTCAGACCTGAATGTCGCCTCGCTCACCCCCGCCATCTCCAACACCCCGCCGAGTAGCACCAAGTACGTCGTCTGGCCTACAGCACATCCGCGCTTGCTGATTTTTGCTTCACCAGATCCTACACCGTGGACTTCAGCATCGGCGTGACGAGCAGTGGCGGAGCGATTGCAGCCATGAACGGCACGGTACGCGAGCGTTTTCTCGCCTTTTTGGTTTTCGTTCGTCTGACGCGCAGAACAGAGCTGGACGCCGCTTTCGGGCACATCCACCCTGCTGCAGATCGTGGATGCCGCTAAGAATGGCTCGACTTACGCCGCGGAGGGTTCCAGCGTGGAGCCGGACAACCAGTTCATCATCACCGAGGACGACATCCAGGTTGTTGACCTCTTGCTGGTAATTGACCTTGCAGGGCGTGTAAACATGGTGATTCTAATATTCTTATATAGGTGAACACGGGCCCTGGAGCGCATCCGTTCCACCTTCACGGCCACACTCCTTACGTGTAGGTCTTCATTCCTTTCGTTCAGCGACTTGTCTTGCTAATCTCGACGACCCCAGCATGGGCTTCGGCACGGGCTCATTCGACGGCACCGGGCTCAACACCGTGAACCCTATAACGTGAGTGTCTCGCTAGCCAAGCGTCCCTCCCCAGATGCTGACAAGATCTTCCACAGCCGCGACACTTACCTCGTCCCCAGCGGTGGCTGGCTCATGGCGCGCTTCATTACCGACAATCGTAAGTTCTACAATTCTCATGAACGTATAATGATTCACCATAACTCTATAGCCGGAATTTGGACCATCCACTGCCGTATGTCTTCTCGCCAATACCCGCTGTCGCTTCCGCTGATCACCTCCTTTAGATATCGCTTGGCACATGGCCGCCGGCTTGCTCATGCAGGTCAACAGTCTACCCTCCAAGTCGTCACAATTCGACATCCCGCAGGCCATCCTCGACCAATGCAGCGCCTAAGCAGCGCACTTCCATGGCTCGAATGGACTTTCTCTCTCTAAGGGCTGTAGTGATTAAATCTACGGACTCAGACTATCTTCGCAGTATCTTTGCGAGTACATTCTTTTGTTTCATGAAAGGGTACCTGGCTATCCAGGAGTACATTATTATTTAAATAGGAAATGTACTTGCGCTAGCTGTCTCTATTTGTGCACGATAACAATAAGGGTTCTGCTGCTTGTATGAGGCACTAATTTAAACGCTTAAATGAGCAATTGCATGAATGAGCGAACATGTCCCCATACAGAGTGCGACTTACTGATACTTGAGGCTACGAGCTTTGAAGACTGGTGTGAGTATTGTTCAAACGCTGATCAACTCAATGGCACCGTGACGACACAGTCTGCTGGCACTTGCAGTTACACTTCGAGGAACCACCCTTCCAGGCTCGTAGACCCACATCTGACGGACTAACAAGTTGACTCGGCGGGCCCATGGCCACAAGCACGCATATACGCAGCAAATGAGCCAACCCAGGTCGTGCCCGAGGTTTGTTATCTCAACTTTGGGCCACGTCGACCAAGTTCACTGCGTGCTGACTGGCCTCAGGTCGAGCTACGCGCAATTGCGCGCTCGGCTTCGCGACATCCTCTCGCACCCCTCGACCCATTGTTAGGGGAAATGGCTGCGCGGAACCGCATGCAATAATTCGCCTGCGAAACCATTGAGGCCCCAGTAGGTACCGAATCGACCGCAGTTGAGCAGGGGATTATTATAGACTCGGACGAGCCCAGAGTCAAGCTAGCTCTGCTCTAGTAATGACGTCATAAGTAGGGTAGTAAACGAAGCAGTGCACAAGGTACCTGTTGTGGGAGTACAGTCTTGTACAGTCACAAAATGAAGCGATGGTCCGTAATATATTGCATTTTGGACGTCCGAGCGTAGTCACAAAGACAGCTCACAAGTCCATAGTCACACCAGACGCTTGGAAGTACTTGCGGATGCCGCTCGAAGGTGTGACCATGATGGACTTGTAAGCCACTCGTGGTGTGCCCGGGCTAGTGATTCCTTGCTCTGCCAGCCCACTGCTCATGCCGTTTTTGGCAGGCAATCGACTACGGCGATGCTGAAGAGCACTTGCAAACCTTACGAGCCGCGTTTTCACAGCTGTCTTTCTCCATCTGAAAACGGCTATAGCTGCCCGCACTGCCACCCGCGGGTCGCGCTCAGTCAGAGAACTGTATCATTTGCCTCGTTATTGGCAGCGCACAGAAAAATTTAGCTAATGTTCGCCCCGTGTGCCACGAAGAAAGTACAGGCACTGTTGCACGAGGGGATATATTGCGACAATATTTAAACAGGAAATATGCGTGCGCTGCTTACGTCTACTTGTACACGATGGTGGGAGGATTTGTGGTGGTGTTATGCGACAGAAATTTGATGCTAGCGAGGGCAGTCATGCTATCAGTGAACATGTCCCTGCGTGCACTTTAGGACTCACCCGAACTCGCGCGCTTTGGGGACTGGGATCGGACACTGCTGGAATGCAGGCCAATACCACAAAATGCCACGCTTGTGCGTCATCCGCAGCAGAAGCCTCAGCTCTGCGACCCATTGCTCGTCCCAGTACGGCCTGTAGTCGTACCAGTCCGAGCTGCCGTGGATTGTGGAAGGCATGCCTATGTCCATCCGTGGAATCCGGCCCACAGTCACGCGGGATAAGGAAGCATATTGTGGGAGCTGTAAAGCGCGGTCGAACTTCGCCCATTCTGCCGACTTTGGGTCCGTGAATGAAGGGTACTGTTCGAGCCAGAGGCGAAACTGTTCGAGCGTGCCGCAATGCAACTCCGTGATGAGGAGCACGACATCCTGGAAGGATGCCAGATGGTGAGGGGCTTGCAGCATTAGGACCCGTAGGCTTGTCATGCTCGAGATCGTACTCTTGACTTTGTTTTATTCCATTATCAGCCACAAACACGGGTGTGAATACCAGGGAATGCTTACGGATGCTGGGCTGTATTTCAACCCCAAAGCCGAGGCTCAGCACTAGTAGCGTCCTCTTCGCCGCGTGAAGAACTGCATCGACAGCTCCGAGCATAGCATCGTCGTAAACCTTCGTTCTTCTTAAGTTGGCGGCAGACAGAGATGAGACGACGCCGGAGCGCGCCAACCAGCTGAGAAACCGCACGCTACGCCCGTCGGAAGTCCACCCGCGGTCGGCTTCGATGATGAGCATTGAAAGGCGCACTCGGCTCGGTACGGAGTATGGAAGCCGATGACTCTGTCTTGCTAGTGCGTTCCATGACGTGTGTGAGATGCTGAGATACTTTAGCTGGACCAGCGCCGACAGCATGCGGCACAAATCAGAAACGGAACAGAACGTGACCCTACGGAGGGAGAGAAAGTGGACGGATGAAAACTGTCGCATCATGACATGAAATACGGAAGGGGCATATAGCACGCCGTCCTTGAGCAAGAGATGCGCAAGATGTGGAACTAGACGTGGAAGTTTGGTTGGGAGAAGATGTAGGCGGGGGTGCATGGCATCTTGACCTTGATCAGCGATTATTCGACGGATATGAGACTGTAGTGCAGGATAGTATTCGAGAAGTGCGCTCAGGTCACCTAGGGTCCGTATGCCGGTCAGCGAACAATGCACGGAAACGACCTGGAAGAGATAGAAACGACTCCTGGGAAGCCAGGCGCGACAGGTCAGGGCGCATGCGTGCAGTGTCTTGGAGGTGGTAATGTCCCATCCCCACCAGTTGCCTCCACGGCTGTCTCTTTTGGGCCACCATGTCGATGATGCGCTCGCATACCTCTACAGGCAGCGAGCAATCGTTGGGAGAGTGGAGGATAATCCATCGGCGCATGTGGCGGCGAGCGAGCGATAGTTTCCGTGCCAAAAGCTCGATAATTTCAGGCCGCATATCGGACGTGATCCCCCTATCTCTCTGTTCTCTCCGTTCAAGCGTCCGTCTATGGGAACAAAGTGCAGTCAGTTGAAAATAGTGTATGGAAACTATATGAAGTGCAAACCTTAGTCATGAAAGCCAGCGATAATACAATAATAATTCAGATAAGCATGACGCTCATATATAGGGCGCGGCCAGAGGGAACACATCGCTGTTATCCGCGTTGTGGATGATGTGACAATTATGGGCTTGAGAAGACGTCTCAGTTGAGTCTCGATTGAGCTGAGAAGATACGATACCAGATAATCATAAGAGCTTGTTCTATGACGGGGCATTAGTCATGCCGCAAGGCAAGGTCAAGGGGCCTCGAAGCGTCAGAGTTTCTAACCACGAGGTTGCTTACACGGGCGCCTGACTACCTCGGCTTCTTCCTTTCTTTTTTCGTCAAAGTGACAAGCTTTTTGCAAACTGCTGTAAGATCCGGGACAAGGCGGCCTTACGTTGCTTAAGATCCGGGATAAGGCGGCCTTATGTTGCTTAAGATCCTGGACAAGGCGGCCTTATGTTGCTTACGGCAAGGCCAATTGATGGGCTTTCTTGAACGGCAGGCTTGGTGCGATCTCATACTCCTCTGGCAGCCTAGTGTCGATTCCTCGTGCCGGTGATCGGCTCCGGGTGGCGGCCTTTGCGATGTTTGTCGGTGTGGGAATCATCAGGCCTCCCAGTGTGCCGAGGCTGAGACGTTTTTCTCCAAAGCCGTCGTGGCGACCCGAAGAGTCAGATTACATCAGTTCGTCTCACACGACGACAGGCTCTGCCTGAGATCTCTCGAAATGAGCGCGTACGGGACGTGCCGTCTCTGCACTTCACCCAGAACGCATTAGCTAACAACGAGCAGGTCAGCACAGTCAAGGCACGCCGTTTCAAGCCGCGATGCAGACGTGGACTGCACGCTCGTCTTTACGCAGTCCGTGTAGCTCGGGCTGTAGCCCGCTGCCCCGTTTTTCCGGCTACGGGCCAACCAGTCCCGTGTCGCGACCCTAAATGTCCGCAGGCTGGTGAGTTACATATATGACTTCCTGCCAACTAGGCTATTTCCAACGCTCAGACTATTACAACAGCTGGCCCAGTCAAACTTACCAGAGACTCCTTTCGGGACTTCTCGGGCAGGTCATGGCTCCACCTTCAGTTCGCTTACCAAAAGGCGCGGACTCTTGGATCACCCGGCAATGCGCATACTATGGAATACGGGATGTATCCAATCAATTATTGAGTACTATGACTTTGGCCTGACGGATCCTTACAGCCTGTGCCATTTCTTGAACAGAACCTGCAAACGTGAATGGATTGCAACCACCATCACATCAAAACTCTGAACATTCCCAGCTGGCGATGTCATAGGTTGCGAAGCGTTGCTTTACCGAATCCTTCGCCGCTTACTACTATGAGCCTCCCCACGCCAACATATTCTGTAGCGACGTCGGCTTGAATATGGAGTGGACGTATGAACGGGAAACGCTGGGGTTCAGTCAGCGTATGAAGCCTGCATCTCGTGTGTTATACATCCAAACTCCTGACGGTATCATCAGCGACACTGAATATGCATGGCTCCTTTGGCCCCTCCATCCTCTTCTCCCCTCCACAACCGCCATCAGGGCTGCGCTCCACGGTTTCTTTCATACGCATCGCTGTCACCATCAGGCCGGCACCACTGCCCGATACACGGAAGTTCTGCACATTGCTCCGAGCCTTGGATACGCACCTGCCCCCCCCGCCCCAGGCTCACTTTAAGGGCGAGCGAAAAGTACGAACCCTGGGTTCCTGAAATTCAAACTTACGCCCCAAAGCTCATGCTTCGCACGCACTCTAGAGGGTTAGTCTCTGTGGAGACTGGAGACCCCGTGTTGACGACTGAATAGCTGATATTCTCGGTCACTCCCGAGGCTGTAGGGTTGGTTGCCCGCTCTGGAATAGATTTCAGTAGTATGTACAAGGTTAAGCTATGAGAGTCGTAAGACCGCGTGGAGGTGAAGTCCAGAGTGCATCTAGAGTAAGCGCATCTGTCGCATCTGTTACCGCATATATATATAAACTTGTCAGGAAAGCTACCTACCAGTGATTCATCAACATCACTAGCCTCGGAATTCGATGTCATTCTGACAGTTGGTGTATTGCCCTGCATACAATGAGCGAAAGCCAATGCGTGCTGTGCACAGCTAGCCATGTGCAGGATAGGCGGGGCAGACGTGCGCAGTGATATCCTTCCATGATGTCGTCTGAACTTGATCTTTTCATATTGCTTCGCAAAGTCGAGAGGAAAATTCTATAGGTCATAGTTCAACATGATGTAGCAGAGTCCTTACACGAGCCGCTTGGGCGGCTGCGGCTTTTCCTCGACGATCGCTTTGACCTCCTCTTTCGTCTGCTCTACGGCTGCGTCCGCCTGTTCTCCCTTGTGTTCCACAACAGCCTTGATATCTTCCACCTTTTCCTCAACGGCCGCCTTCACTGCCTCAACCTTCTCCTCGACGATGGCCTGCGCGTGCTCTACGTTCTTCGCCGCCGCGTCACGTGTCTCCTCGACTTTAGCATGGGCAGCCTCACGAGCCTCCTGCGCCTTACGCTCCGTGACCTGAACGCCCTCAGCCCACCGCTCGCGCGCGCGCTCTGCAACGCCCTGCGCCTCATTCGTGCGCACGCGCAGGGCCTCGCGCACCTTTAAGCCCGTCGCGTCCTGCACGCGTTCTAGCAGGCTCTCAGCGCCCTGCCCAAGGCTCGCGCGGCTCTCAGCGGTCTTCTCCTTAAGCTGCTCCCACGTCATACGCGTGTGTGCGTTCGCAATCGCGTGCTTTTCCGCGAGTGCAGGTGCATATGTATCCTCAAGCGCACCGACGTACGCGCCGACGTTGTGTGCCGTCTTCGGGAGGAAGTGGTTGAAGGAAAGAAGCAGGAGGGCGGGTGGGAGGATGATGCGGGAAACGATGCCCCTGTTGCGTGCGAGAACGGAGCCGGTTAGCGCGGCGACACCGACGTAAAGTAGTCCCGGCGTAAGAGGTTCTTCGGAGGCGACGAGGGACTTGAGGCGTTCTATCCTACAGGTTGAGAGAATATCCCCTGACGACCAGCAAAGCGGACTTACGTTCTACAGCATGTTCAACACCAATCCAGCGAGAAACGACACCCTGGACTTTTGTGTGCGCATCGGAGTAGGTTTGTGTGACCGCCTCGCGTGCCTTACCAATCTGGTGTTCGAGCTCCGAGGGCACCTCTTGCAAGACAATGTCTGGCTCTACGTGAGGGTATATGGATAGCTGCGCAAGATACACCCAGTATTTAGCGAAGTTAAAAGCGGTGGAGGGCTGGTTGTGCGCACCTTCTCTTTCCCGCTCAATTCATGTTCGTGCACGATGACAGCCGCTGCTGCAGCCGCGCTCAACGCTGTCCGCTTGTACTTGAAGCTAGGTCTCAGTAAGTCTGCTAGCAAGGGATAGAAAGGGATATGCGCACTGTGCGGAACGACTGGCGGAACATCGGGGATAGAGGCGGTGGACGACAAGCGGGGAGTCGGAAGCAGCAGGACGTCGGGCGTCTAGCTAACGGCGCTTTCCCGCTTTGGTCCAAACGTAGTATGCGGCGGGACACCTCTGTGTTGCGAGGGCGCTCCGTCCGCCTTGCAGTCCAACCGCCATGGCGCTGTCTCTCGTCCAGACCCTGCGTCCGCCAACGGTGCCAACATTTGTGCGCGCGCTGTCAACATCGCCCTATGGGCGTACGCATGTCTGGAAAAAGCGTGCGCCGAAGCTTCCGAAGCCGTTCGTTCCACATTTCCCGCAGCGCGTCGTGCTGGCGGACGGCTCGAGTTTCATTCATCACACCACTTCTCCCCGCGGCACCTTCCGCAGCACACGCGACACAACCAATAACCCGCTCTGGAACTCTCTAGTCGCGAGAGAGGGCGAAGAGGAAGAAGGCAAGCTCGTTGGACGCATGGGTCGCTTCTCCAAGAAGTTCGAGGGCATGGAAATCAGTGATATCGAGGTGGAGGGATCCAGCTCGAAGGAGTGATGTTCCCTGAATCTCTTTTTTTGCCAGTGCGTCCTACGTCGTGTACTGCATGATTGACCTCACACTGCTTTCGTGTTATCAGATTTTGATACACATCCAGCTTGTTCATATCCTTACTCTCAGAGACAGATAGTCTCAAGATATTCGTGAATGCTACTCTCAAATGCTGCTAGCCTTCTTCACTATTTGCCATAGACTGCTCCATTTCTGCTTTAGCAGGTGAGATCACCGGTCAAGCTTCCCAGTGAAAACCCCGTCCGCCCGAAGCGACCGAGGACTATCTGAGCCTATCGAAAATTCACTGATCTACCCCCAGCGACCTCAGAGAAATCAGCAGACGCCGGAGAAGCTCTGACGTCCGCGCCCATCGGCTGCGTCTCCATTGAGTTGGCGGTGCACCGTGGTCTTTGACGCGTCCATTAATGCCTCTCCAACGTGTCCAAACGCCACCGACTCTTTTCCAAATCCAAATCCGAGTCTGAATGCGAGGACTTTGAACTAATGACTCCAATGTCCCGACGCCGCCGACCGATGCCACCAAATCAAAGCAGAGATGCCCTATCCCACTTATATAAGGGCACACCTCTGGCGACAGCGCCGCGCTGCTCTTTTCCTGCTGCCCCCACCATGCCACCCGTCGTGCCCCGCATCCCTGTAGTCCCCGTCCCGCTATCCAATCTGGCAAGCAGGTGAGTATATGCGCATATACCAAC